TTGCCAATATTTTATTGAGTTCCTTTCTACAAATTCTAATTCAATTTCCACCCTCTAATCCACGAACACTCATTCCCACATATCAAACGTCTCACATATATCTTAAAAAAAACATATCGTAGAACCCTAACTTTTATTGGGGTTATTTTGTTAGTATTATAGGGGTTACTCGGTATGTGATACAAGGGTTATTTTGTTAGCGTTATAGGGGTTATTCGGTCAGTGTTATGGGATTACTCGGCCAGTGTTATAGGGGTTACTTTGATTTTTTATAAGTGACCACATAGTATAGCTTGCCACACACAAAACGCGTTGATCATAATTTATAGAGTATGTGAATAATGAAAAAGTCAACACGTTTTCTGTAATACCCCGTATTTTTATACGTATTTTAATTTAAATAAGTATTTCTTAAAGTATTTAAATAATTCGAAATAAATTAATTAGGGTTTTTTTTTACTAATTTAAAAAGAATGATTTTAATTAAAATTGTATTTTTAATTATTTAATAATCTTGGCAATATTTTATTTTATGATTTAAAAATATTGGGGCATATTATTTTATAAAAAGATAATTTTTAAAGTCAATGGTATTTAAGGAAAGTCAAAATACTAGTATGACTAGGAAAGGGATCATTAAGGGTAGTAAAGGAATTTTAAGTAGGAGGGATTTGAGAAGGGGTATAAATACCCATTATATGCCTAAGGTGGAGTGTACTCAAGGGTAAATTCTCTCTCTCCTCTTATTTACTTTACCCCGTAATTTTCCCCTTCCCCTTTAATTTATTTTATTTTATTTTATTAATCACCACCCCACACACACCACCACACACCACCACCAGCACTCGCCGGCAGCAACAACCACCAGGTGGCGACGACAGCCAGCCTTGGTGGTTGTGTGCCCGTGGTTTACTAGAAAAAAAAATTATTTTTTATTGTTTTTGTTTTAATTGAATCTAGCCTAAATCTAATTATTGTTTTTGGGTTTTTGTGATGATTTTAGGATGTTTAATAATAATTATTTTGTATATTAATTTTCAGATTTGGTTTTTAATTAAAAAACCCCAAATTGAAAACCCTAGGTTTCTAAATTTATGTATATTGATGGAATTTGATTGTGGGTGATTTTAATTATTGAAATAAGTGTTTTAAAATATAATTACAACACTTTTATGAGTTTTAATTAAGCTGAATTTTTATATATAAGCTATAATTATGTTTTCTTGAAAGGATTTTTAATTACCCATTAATTGGGAATAAAGGTAAGGGTTTTAAATAAAATTTCAGATTATTTTAGAGGGTTTATGAGTGATTTAAAGAGAGTATATATTGCTGGAAATTTGTGTGGAAGAGGTATTAAAACTTCTTTGTAATTTTGGTTAGTAGGAGACTTTCAAGTGAGTGATTTTATTTAGTCGTGGCGATTTTGAAATCATATTCAAGGTAAGTTCGCATATTTGGTAATTACTTGAATATGTATAGGCATGCTAGGCTTTGTTTAATTAGTTCCAAGTAGTATCATGATAGGTATTGGTGGAATTTGTTGATTGGATTGATTTGGTGATTGATTTGTGAAATATGAATTATTTGAAATGAATTGTTGATTGGAATTAATTATGTTGGCATGTTGATTGTGAACCATACTTTATTCTTGGCATGATAGAGGGCATGTTCAATTAAACTAAGTGGTTTAATTTGGTTTGGAATATTGAAAAGGAATTTTATTATGGTTCACATGATTTTTATTGATGCTATAAGCACGAGGAAGGAGCTATTCAAGTGTCTATGCACACGAAGATTAAATTATATTTTTGGTGCCTAAGTGTACTTAAGGTGTTCTAAACACCGAGGGATAGGATTTGTGGTGCTTTATGCGCTTAAGGTGTTATTTAACACCGAGGTAGTTTAAAAAGGATTCAACATTAAATATATGTGGTCACTAATTATTCAAGAATTAAATTGGTATGTTTGATTGCTTGAATGAATTATAATGTTTGATTGTGTTATGGTTCGAGAGGCATCACCGAGTCTAATAATATGTAAATAACGTAAAGTGAATGAGATTACGCACCAAAACTCTTGGAACGTATAGACCTTGAGTATGAACATGTGGGGGGAGTTATGCGACTTTATATTTGACCATAACTTCTATTTTTTTGGTAAGTAAGATTTTATACCAAAAAGAGGAGGGCAAGCCCTCAAAACTCCAAAACTACACAGTCTGAAGACCAAACAACACAGCACAGCCAAAGCCTAAAAGCCAGGCAAAGGTACAACAAAACAGAAACAGATAGAGAAAAAAAACAAGGCAAACAACTAGAAACTATCTAAGGCTATATAACCATTTACACTAAGCTCGAGACCATGATTTGCTGATCAATTGATGACATCTGTCCATAATCTCCAATCTCACCTTCTTGCACAAAACCCGAGGATGGATCACAGAAACATTCCAATAAGCCTCATTCCTGGGCATCCAGATGTGATACAGGACAACAATTAAAGTAGCAAGAGCAGTCTTCTTCTGAACAATATTTGTGCATCTTCTCTTCCAATGTTTCCAGGCAGCAACAATACTGAAATGCCTAGACTCAAAACCCAGCCAAGAACATAAGCTTTTCAAGCACCACTAACTGTAATTACAATAAAAAAACAAGTGACTATTACTTTCAGGAATAACACCACAGAGAAGACATAAGTCACTGTCACACAAACCAAATTGCAGCAATTTATCCTTGGTTTTGAGTCTATTATGCACAGCTAACCACGCAATGAAAGCATGCTTGGGAATATTGAATCTATTCCATATCCACTGTGTCCAGTTCACTCTCTGTAAACTTCCATGTAACCAAGTATAACCATCAGCAATAGTATACTGTTTTTCCCTCCATTGCTCACCTGTAAACCCCTCCTTCATTTCCTACTTCACCTTACAAACTCTCTTCCATGCCCATCCTAAACCCTTACTTGGAGAATATTGCCACTAGTCCCTACCTTTTTTATACACACCATGCACCCAATGCACCCATAAAGAATCAGACTTATGAGCTACTCTCCAAACATACTTCCCTATGGCTGCTTTATTCCACAAAGAACAATTCCTAATTCCCAGACCACCAGCCTATTTAGGATAGCACACCCATTCCCATGCAATAGGAGGAGCTTTAGAGAGAGAAACAGACCCATCCCACAAGAAAGCACGACAAAGCTTATTAATTTAATCAATAACCTCTTTAGGAAGAAGTAAACACTAAGCCCAATACAAATGAAAGCTAATTAGCACTGAATTAATAAGAACCACCCTAGCAGCATAGGAGAGACTTCTACTAGTCCAGCAGGTGATGTTTGCCATCATTTTATCAACTAACACATCAAAATCAGCAATTCTAAGGTAAGTGGAATTAAGAGGTATTCCCCAATATCTAAAAGGGAACTTACCTTCAACAAAACCAAATAGAGAAAGAATTTCAGCTTTTAAATCCTCATCAAAATCGCCAAAATAAATTGTTGTTTTGTCTTGATTAGCTTGCAGCCCAGAAACTTTATGAAACATCTTAAGAGCCTTTACCAGGAGCATAATAGTCTTCTTATCACCAGCCCCAAAAAGCATTAAATCATTAGCAAAAACAAGATGATTAAGCTTTAAAGATCTATACCTCATATGAAACTTGAAATCTTTCTTCTCACCAATTTTCTTTAGAACTCTGGTAAGATACTCCATACAAATGACAAAGAGAAGGGGGGACATAGGATCCCCCTGTCTGATTCTCCTGGCCCCCTTAAAGAAACCACTTAGACCACCATTAATCATAATAGAGAAGGAAGGAGAAGAGACACAAACCATCACCCACTGCACAAACATCTCAGGAAAGCCCAAAGCCACAAGCATTCTCTCAATAAACTTCCAGCTTAAGGAATCATAGGCCTTTCTCAAGTCCACCTTAATGGTACACCTAGGTGGTTTTCTTTTATTGTTATAATCTTTCAAAAGATCCTGACAGACCATGATATTATTCATAATGGATCTTCCAGCTACAAAGGCCCCTTGTCCATCACTAATCAACCCAGGTAAGACCTCTTTAAGCCTACCACAAATCAACTTTGATATAATTTTGTAAAACACATTGCAACAAGCTATTGGCCGAAATTGAGTTACATTCACAGCATTAGCAGTCTTAGGAATCAAGGTCAAAGTAGTAGTGTTGATTTGCTTTAACAGCTCACCTTGAGCAAAAAAATCCTTCACATCATTACACAGATCATCCTTTACAATCTGCCAAGCCACCTTAAAAAACTTACTAGTATAACCATCAGGTCCCGGGGATTTGTCCTCATCAATACTCCATAATGCACTCTTGATATCAGCTTCTGAAAAGGATGTACAGAGCCCAACTTTTTGATTCTCAGACAGAACAAGGCCAGTAGCAATAACAGTGGGGTGAATGTCCCTAACCTGTCCCTGATCAGTACCCAACGGACCCTTATAGTAACTAACAAAAGCATCAGCTACATTGCTAGGATCCATTATAACATCACCAGAATCATTTACAATACTACAGATTCTGTTAGTAACTCTTCTCTTTCTCAAACAGGAGTGAAAGTAAGAAGAATTGAAGTCACCTTCCTTAAGCCGTCTCACTTTAGCTTTCTGTTTCAGAAAATCAAATCTAGCTTTGTGAGCCTCACTGTACCTCATCCTAGCCACAAGTTCATCCCTGATAAGGTTATCATTCCTCGGATCTTTATTCAACTGTTCATGAATCCTAGAAAGTTCCTTCTGAGCAGCAATATCAGCAGTCTCCACATCAGAGAAATATTTCAAGTTAACCTCTTTAAGACTCTTTTTCAGATCCTTCAACTTCTGAGTCATTATGAACATAGCAGTACCTTGCACCCCTTTGTTCCAATCATTCCTAACTATATCAAGAAAACCAGGAGCCTCAGTCCAATATTAAAAAATCGGAAAGGTTTCTTAATACTCCCAAAAACATCAAAAAGTCTCATACAACATGGGCTGTGATCCATAAGTCCCTCTGGTAAGAAATCAGAGAGAAATGGTTGAAATAATCCACCCATTCACCATTGACCACAACCCTATCAATTTTAGAACAAAATTTATTCTCTCCATCTTGTTTGTTATTCCACGTATAAAATAAACCACCAGTTTTGAAGTCTATCAACCCATTAAGTCTCAAACAGCTCCTAAAATCCTCAACCTCATCCAAAGTACAAGCCAAGCTAACTCTATCTTCAGGATTAAGGACATTATTATAATCCCCTGAAACAATCCAGGGTCCCTTAACCTTCTCAGCAATAGTACTGATCTGACCACATAGCAACCCTGTCATTCCCCCTATTCATCCCATAAACAACAGTCATCCAAAAAGAAACATTCAATGCTCTATGTGTAACCTTTGTATGAATCAATTGAACTTCAGTATTCAAAATCTCAACCTCATACACACTCGGATTCCATATAATCCAAATTCTCCCAGCACAGTGCTTGGAGTAATTAGCAGCTACAGACCAGTCAGACCCAAAATTAGCAAAGACCCTCCCAAAGTTCTCACTCTTAACCTTAGTTTCAAGAAGACTAAAGAGACCCATTTGGTGATATCTGAGAAACCACAAGTTATCACACACTTTACTAGGCCTATTGAGTCCTCTTACATTCCAAAACCCCAATCTATCCATGTAAAGAGTAGGAGAATTCCCCCCTCTCCAAACCACCATACAGAACCCTATCACTGACCACCATTCCCAAAGAATTACTCTTATTATACTCATTTTTTTCAACATTTATTTCCTTCAATTCCTCCATATTCACCTCATCCTGCAAACAATTAAATCTGTTCACAACTAGAATAGAAGCCACCTTAGCTTTATTCACTTCCAGACCCACCCTCTTAATAGGTGTCCATTCCTTTCTTACCCCTTTTTGCTCTAAATTCCTCTTCTCCTGCAGTATCCTGGCTTGAACTTTATGGTTAGGACATTGACTAGAATCATGTCCCATCCCAGAACAAGTAGAAAAAATCACTGGCTTCCATTCATATATTACTTTTTGATGCATCACCTTCCCATTCTCATCCAAAAATTCAATCTCCTCGATCATCTCCTCATTGACATTAATCTGAACCATGATCCTAGCATATGCCATCAATTCTTTTGTTGCAGTAGCTCTGTCTATTTGCACTGGCTTCCCCACTGCACCAGCCAGATTCATTAAAGAAGACTGACCCCAAAATTTAAGGTCAAGCCTAGGCAGTCTTATCCATACAGGAACCTCTTGCACTCCTTCATCTCGCAGCTTAATTCCTGGCTCCCACCTTTTAGCCACCACAGGTTTCCTATCAAAAAAGATATGTCTGGCAACCAAAACTCTCTCCCTCCCCTCTTCCATACGAAATCTAACCAGAAAAACCCCATTCTCAATAGCAGCAACTCTATCAACACCAAACCCATATCCTTCTTTTAAATCCATTCATAATTCTGAATGGCAGCTGAGAGCTAAGAATATAACAAATAACAGCAGATTTCCAAAAACTAATTTCTGGTTCAACATCCTCAACAGTATTCCTCACCCTTTTATCACCATTACTCCTATCTCCTCCATTAGAAGAAGGTTTCCATTTCTAAGATAGATCAAATCCCTCATCCAGATTTTGTTCAAAAAAATCAGACCATTTCTTTCCATTAAAATCGGACCTACCCGTATTAGGTGAAGCAAAAACAGGATGTTCAAATATAGGGCTACAATTCCAATTATCAGTAATACCCCCATTCTCAAATTCACAGTTATCAACAATCGAGTTCTGAACCATTAATAAGGGAGTTGGATTAACAAACCTGGAAGAATTAATTTCCTGGGTTCTTGCTCCATTCTCGAACAATGGCGTCTGCACAGCTAACACCCCCAACCACTGATCAACATGCTTCTTGTCCTCTTCCTTCTCAAAAGATTCAACCGGTTAAACTTGCATGTCCTTGATTTCCCCTTCTTCAAGCCAACTATCAACCGAAACCGACCCATTCTTCGACACCAGATCAGTAGAAGGATCTTTAATAGCACGATTCTTCTTCGCATTACCCTTCTTCTTCGATTTAGAGCTAGAAGATTTCTTTCCTTTACCTTTCTTGCCCTTTGCCATGACAATGAGGCGTATATTTGACCATAACTTCTACTAGGAGTACAGGACGCTGTATTTTCCATTTTTATTATGCGCAGGAATTCCGCCACTTACGAGTGGTTTATTGTATACTAGCACGGTTAGCTCCCGTGTTGGTACTGTTTCGGGGTTTTCTGATGTCCTGCGGGAGAGTTACAATTCCGAGACTGGAACCGGACGCCTGTACCTGCAAAATAACGGAGACTCCTGAGAGCTCCGCCTCCAACGGTCAAGTTAGTACCTGATTAAGGAGTAATTAATACGGAAATTAAAGTAATAAGACCTCTCTAGGTGAGAGTGTTTAATGTTGGTAATCTGCTTTGTTAGCGAGATTAGCCGGTTATTAGTGTTCCGTAATGTTTCTGTTCTTCTCTGTTCTTCAGGTGAGATTAATTGCTTGATCAATTGCCTCTCAATTGCTTGATCCCTTTTAATGAGGATTAATTAAGTATTTATAGTCTTGAGAAGCGTGCCACTCTCTAGGTTTAGGGTAAACCTAGGGCTGACCGGGCCTCTAGACAGGATTGGGCCTTGTTGGCCGGTTTTCCCATTTGGCATGGGTGGACACGTGGCGTGCCTCGATTGGTCCGTAGAGGACGTATCTGTGATTGACACGTGGCAGGCTCCTATTGGCCTTCGTGAAGGACACGTGGCGGAACCTGGTTGGTCCACTTGTCAGACGGTGATTGGTGGATAAAAATCCCCTAATCATTTGCCCCTCACAGGTGGCACGTGACTGGTCACGTGTCGCCTGTGACAGGTGTCGCACGGTGACAGGCGACGGCCTGCTACAGGTGTCACCTTGCAAACGGCCGAGAGATTTTCCCGCCCAAATTTTGAATTTGGAAGCGACCCTTCGCCTTCTCACTTTGCCTATATAAGGAAGTGCTGACTTCGGTCATTTTCACATTTGAGAACTTTGCGAGAACATTCGGACCCCTGAACTTGCTCTGACATTTCGGACCTTTTCTGCCTACCGCCTGTTCTAACAAGCCGACTGCACCGGATTTCCAGAACTTCATCAACCGTCACTCGTTCAGGTAACTCAGTTCTCTTACTCTTAATTTTCTTTTTATTTTTTGAAATGGCACCACGGAAGCACACGACACGACCTAAGTTAGTGATCAGCCGGTCACCGGGGACGGCTGAATCTAGGACTAGGAGTGCCGCCTGCCCTTTTCTGGACCCATCTTTGCCCTTTATACAAAGTCCGACTGTATCTGTGTCTATGCAGAACGTGATGGCCAGAACAAAAAAGACTGCTATGATATCAAACTCAGACGGCTCCTCCCAAAGGGTGCTCATTAGTGAAACATCTGACCAGGCGCCAGATGTAGAATTGAAACGAGGCGGCTGCCAAGCCGACAGTTCTGAGAGAGGGGCCAAGGTGGTCCCTTCCCATCTTACCGTTGATATGTCTAATTTTCCTCCTGCTCCTTCTAAGGGAGAGGAGGCGGGCCCCTCTGGGAGAGGGGAGGAGTCGTCCTCTTCGGACTCGTCAGAGGACGAGTCCGAGTCCAGCTCTTCTGGCCACAGTTCTCCAGGCTCAGAAGAAAGACATAGCCGCCTACAAGAGGCGAGGCTTTCTCATGCAGTTGAGAAGGGGGACAATTGGGCGGAGCCGTCCGCCTCTTACAGAGAGGAAAACGCCCCCTACTACTGCATGGTACCCCGGGGCCGGATCGCAACCATGCAAGACAAAGTGGAGAGCTTTATTGCTAACCACAGAATGGGCCCGGAATTTTTACTGTTCGTGCCGGATCCAGAAGACACTGTCGTCTGGCCGGCTGGTACCAGCTATGATGACGGCTGCTTTGGCTGCTATGTGGCGGCCATCAAAGCTGGACTGCGCTTCCCATTACATCCGGCTGTTCAGCGGATTTTAGATGGGTATGATTTGGGGTTATGGCAGTTAGCCCCCAACTCTTGGGTAAACGTACTCGGCTATGTGGCCGGGTGCGAAATGTACGGGGTGGAGCCAAGCTTTGAGGCTTTCGCCCACATGAACTATCTCAGCCGGACCCCTAAGTCGGGAGGTACCGGCTGGTATCAATTAACAAGCCATAGGGGTTACCTCATGACGAGAGGTAAGGCGAACAAATGGAAGGATTGGCGGAACACCTTCCTTATCATTGAGGGTTCAGACACGGAGCTGAACCAACGTTTTAACAAGTGGAATAGGGATCCGCCTCTTCTCGCAGGCGGCCGCAGCATGCCGCCTGTTCCCCCAAAGGCTAAAAGAGAGATCCTAGACAAAGGACTCTTCAAAGTAGAGACTAGGGTGAACTCTACTTCAGGGGTACGAGAGCAAGTACCCCTAAACTGCGTCCCGAGCTTCAAGTGGCTCTATGACGAGTACTTTTTGGCCGCCTGTGGCCTCAGCAGTCGGTGCTCTAGAGGTAGCCGGCCTGACAAATACTCTGTTTTTTTCACGCCTTGTTTACTTGGGATCTTTACTAACTTTGCTGTTTATTTTTTGCAGTTGACGCCATGAGTAAAATAACAGCATCCAAGACTGCGGCGGCCATGTTGCGGGCCTCTCTCATGCAACAGTCTTGTGCCGACTCCCCCAACAAGGGGGCACCCTTGGTAGGCTTCGAAAACTCTTCCTCTTTTAGGAGTTGTCTTATGCATATACTAACTCTTTTTGTTTTCAGTCTGGCACTCCAAGAGCTTCTTCCTCGCAACAGCCGGACCCCAAGGCCCGGAGGACGACTGTTGCAAGCTCTCCTGGGTCTTCCAGGAAACAGTGGCGGCTGAGAAGCAGCCGGCCACTTCTTCTAAAACCCCGGCGGGGCCGCCTAGAAGTATGGACAATCACTTGTAAAAACTTTCACACTTGCTTCCTTCTTGACTAGGTCTAACTTGCTTTTTTTACGCTTGATGCAGCCGGCCCTCAGGGGCTTGACTTGGTTGAGGTAGCCAAGTCCATGATCAAAGTAGTTCCTCCATCTAAAAGGGAGGCGGTCAGGGGTGCCGGCACCCTTGACCTTGATGGGATTGCAGGGGTCCTTGCTGAGGTATACTTAGCATATTTTTGAGTATTTGAGTTCCAGGACGCCTGTTATCTTTTTTGTGTTTGGAAACTGACGCCTGTTTTTTTTTTGTACTTAGGCCCTGCTCCGAGTTAACAGCCTTCGCAAGCCGATTGATCGGAAAAAACAAAGAGGTAAAGGCCGCAAAAGCTATGGCCGCCTCCAACTGTGATAAGGCAATGTTTCAAATTGCCCAAAATGAAGTACTGACCATTGATATTCTTTATTATCAGGCGCAGGCTACCGCCGCTGTTCGGGCTCAGTTAGAGGCGGCCCAGAAGAAGAATGACGAGCTGGAGGCGACCGTCACAAATCTTAAGGCCGAGCTGAAACCTCTTCGCCAAAAAATGCACTCTTACGAAGCCATGGAGAAATCTTTGGCCAACGTAAAAGAACGCCTGGTGAGCCAAGAGAAGAGTCTTACCCAAGAGCTCTCGGAAAAGGCCGAGCAAGAGAAGAAAGAGCTCGTCCGGGAGATGGTGGAAGACTCCGCTCAAATCCAGCGCATGACCTGGGGCCGCCTGTTCCCCAATGCCGACTTTGCCTCATGGGAAAGAACGTACCGCCAGTGTTCGGAAACATATAATCAAGAGATCCTGGCGGCTGCTGAAGAAGAGGCGTTGGGAGATACGTTGGAGGAGGAGGAAGAGCCGGTTGTGGCGCTTGTGCCACTTGGGGGTAAGGCATCAAAAGAGGGTGCAGCTGAAGCCGAGTCCAGCAAGAAGAGTGCTGACCAGGCGGCAGCTGCTAATACTGAACTGCCCCCTTCTTAAGCTTAAAGTATTTTTTTTTTTTTTTCACGGCCTGCGTGCCGTTTGCTTTGTATTTACCCGGCCAGGGGGCCGGGGCTTTGAATATTCTGCTGGTCTTTAATGACCGGCTTATTTTTAATCAAATTTTTGTTTTGATTCAAATTTGTCTAAGTATTCCATATCTAATATCCCATTGTTCACTAGACCGACTGTTGTACATGGCCGAACGTTGCAGACAGGTACAAATAGTAAGTACGCCGCCTATGCCCCTGGACGACTGGTTGTCTGTTTCCAGGATAGACGATCAGTCGGCCATTTATTCAATCGGTATTCGAACTATTTATTCAATCGGTCTGACCAAGTAAATAGTATTACCTAGTCGCCAAGGAATTAAGTAGGATAACAAGCGGCGGGTACCGGTTGTTTCCCTTTATTGCCAATGTTGGCTTTTAACTCGTAATTTGTTAACCTAGCAAGAGTAGTGGTTGAGAGCCCTTGTTTATTAAAAACAGGCGGACGACTCATACC